GATTGACAGATCGAGCATAGCTCAACCTGCAGGGCGTAGTCAAGCATGCTCAGCTTTTATTCACATATATGAGAGTGTGTATGTGTGTGTGTGTGTGTGTACGTGAGGCTAACGTTGCGTATGCGCAATACATTGATTTACGTTAAGTATACGTCAGATTAGCATTGTTCAAGTACATTGTGTGCGTGTGTGTGTGTGAATGTGTGTGAATAAAACAGACAATTACTGTACTCACCTATTGATATAGATATTTCTATTTTTTCTGCTTCGCTGTTTTTTGTTCCAATTGAAATTTCTGTGAATGAGACTCGTCTTCTTTCTCTTCTTTCTCTCTATTCCTCTCTGTCGTTCGCTCTCTCGCTTTGAGTGTCTTCCTCTTGCGCAATATTTGTTTATATGTGCCCACACTCGCGCGCAGTATAAACAATAATGTTTATGGCCAACAAAGGCAATTAAGTATTGACTTTGGCGTTTAATTTACAGCCAGAGCCAGCGAGAGGAGACGTTGAGCGAAAGAGCAAGGGCTAGAAGAGCTGAAGAGCCAATGGGCGCTGCTACGGCAATGGGGTATATTGGCTCTTGCTGCTGTCCATTTATCATGTCCGCCTGCAATTAAAAATTGAAAGAGGCAAAGCAACATCAGCTTGGGCCATTAAGCAATTCAATTTCTAGCAAAATTGTTGAATTAGAATAATTAAGTGAGAGCGCAAATTGAACTCGTTAAATAAACAGAAAACAACAACAATTACGCAGCGACAGCAACAATGCAACAAAGCGACGCAGAGACATGTGTCGATCAAATTTATGGCAAAGCAAAAAAAAACATGTAATTAAAATGAAAATATTCAAGTTCAATTAGAGGAACAAGGCAAAATGGGCAGGGGTGGTGGTAAGAGGGGAAAAAGGATAATTGCGAAAAATAAATGTAAATGGCAAACGTTAAGCAAATGAGAACGACTAATAGATACCCTGTACTGTAAAGGGAAAACTAGAGAGAGAGGGATAATGAGAAAGGAGCAAAGGAAAATATCTCAAATCGACTGAAGAAACTTATAAAACACTTAGAAGAGCGCCAATGAGAGACTACAATATACCCTGTATTGCAAATGAGATGGAGAGAGGGGAAGAAAACACAAGTTAATCTAAAATGTAGAGAACGATAAACTAACTAAAAGACTCAAATATGTATACCCTTTAAAGAGAAAATGGGCTGAAAGGCAAAAGCAATTCGATTTGTAAATCAGCTTAGTATTATCCTAAGAAGCTTAAACAGATAACAAAATATTAATCACGTAAAAGTAATGAAAGGATTGCCTAAAATATACCCTGTACATAATGAAACACTGTGTTTACTCGACTAGAATCTAATATCAGTTTATAGCACAGCCGACAGATGGTGAAATGCCATTAGGAAAACTTGAAGATACCCTGTACTCCACCAAGTTACAGGCACAGCTTGTAGATACCCTTTACTCCGTAACTAGTCTCTACTCTGCAGAAGTAACTAACCTCTATGGCCTACATACCCTGTTCCCTTTTCGCACTCCCTACGCACTACAAATATACGCAATTGCAATCAAAATAAAATCGCATTTGTTTTCCTCTCTAATAAACAAAGTGAATTTTCGCTCGTGGCAAGGATTTTCAATTCAATTTAAAATATTAACACGCTCCACAAATATAAAGTCCCTTTTGGTTTTTATTCGTCTGAATGTGTTTCAAAAATATTATTCTGTATATATTCATTTACTTGCGATTGAAAATATAAAAATAAAATTCTTTGCAACTTGAAGTATGCATTTTTACATGATGTTTAATAAATTACAATTTTTAATTACAAATTCATCTTGCTTATTTATGCAATAAAAATTTCATTTAATTCACATTAAGTAGAAGAATAATATTGTGGTATAGGGCATGCACAACTGCTTGATACTCCTTCCACAGCCACACATAACTTAGGCTAAGTTCGCTCACTCAGCCTCCACTAGACACGCCCAAATGGGCAACTCATCAAACAAGCACAAGGTAACAGATAAACGCACTTTTTACCACGCCTCCAGTGGGCGTAGTCTCCACAAATAATATGAAGAGTCTGGCACTTGATAAAACTAACAATCATTTCATGCAACTAATATGCCCATTTTCACTGCCTGAGCGAGCATTAAGTGACATACAAAATAGATATTAAAAGAAGACAGACAGGGAGAGTAGGAGAGAGGGAGAGGGAGTAAGATATTTACATTTTTATGGCGATTTTATTTCGTTTTTAATGCGAATGCAACTTTTGTAAAATCCATAAATGTTGCTTTGCATAAATTATAAGTTATAATTTACATTTATGTATATTTTGGGACACATTTGTAATCTCAAATTTAAGACTTCAATTTAAAATGAAGCACACTTCATATTAAATATATTAATGCGATTTGTTTTTTTTTTTTAATAATAATAGTTGTGACATATATTTTTAAAGACTTTTTTCACTGTCTAAATGCAAATCTATTTCAATTTTTGTATTACTTTATAATTTATACTTACTTATAATTAATAAGTATATAATTATTAAGAACGATTTAGATGTATAATGTTAATAGTAAATTATTATTTTATTTATAGATCCATAAAAATATTTATTTATTTATTTTTTACTATATTTTGAATTTATTAATTGAATTAAAAATCACTTATAATGTTTTTCTTGTAGCTATAATGTTTCTATTAATTTTACTAGAATTTTTGCGCTCACTAAATTTCACTTTTTCTCGTTTTTAGCTTTATGTATTATTTTCTAAATATTTAATTTAAGAGTATGCATCATCCTATTTTCCGTTTATTCATTTATTTTTTTGTACTTAATTTTACATTACATTCACAAGTACACATATTATTTGTTTACTATTTTTCGTTTATATATTTATTTGATTTTTCAAGAACTTTTCAAATATTTTTCGAACCAACATTCGATCCGCACTCGACTCGGCGTGTTCCTTTCGGTTGCGCTTCTGTCGCCCGACTGCGTGGCAAACTCACTCGACGACGATATTTGGCGCCAAACTTGGGCATGTTCGAAACCGAATTTCCCCTACTTTTCCAATGCGAACTCGAACGGCTGGAACAATGGAAAGGGCCGGCAAAATGGCGCCTGCGTCTTTAGATGTAAACAAAGAACAGCTGATGCAAGATTCATTGATGCCGTTGCGCTTACAAAGAGGAAAGGAGAGGGAGAGGCACGCGGAGAGAGGTAGAACAGAGGAAGTGTAGTAATATATACAGCGAGAAAGAGTGAGAGAGAAAACAGTGTAAGTGATTAAATAGAAGGGAAGAGCACTGCTAAGCAAAGTAGCGGCATTCTCTGTTCTGTATTTAATGCCTAATGCTTCACTTGCCACGCCTTTTTTGTGTGGGTTTTGTCGCACTCTGAACGCCCACTCAAGTAAGAATAATTCATCTTTGAATAACCCTCGAAAGAAAATGAAGAAACGACAAAAGCAAAAGTATAATACATTTGTCAAACTTTTTTATTTATTAGCTTGGCTTGCTCAACTTTTTCCAAGGATTTTTTTTATAAATGGGTTCCCAGGTATCATTCAGGAACAAAATTCGCAGGAAAAAAATTTATAAATAAAAATTTAACAAACTACATAATAAATAAAATTCGCCGCCGAAAAGTATGCAAATCATTTTTATATATTTATAACTATCTCTAATTAAGTAGTGTAAAATAAAAATAACTAAAATAAATCAGACTTTAACAACTTTTATACCGCCTAAATGCATGTAAACAAGAGTTTGACTGGGGCACTTAATAATTAAGAAATACAATTCAATAAAAATCCACTCAAGTAGAGTCACACTCAATAGGAGCAAAGAGTACAATCCCAAAGGTACAAGCAAAGCACGCGCTCTCTTAAATGCGCTTTCAATCAGAAAAACCACTTAAAGAGCAAAAACATGCGCAACGCGCACAGCAACAAAAAAAGGTAAACAAAAAACAAAAACAATTGAAAGCTTAAGCAAGCGACGACAAATTGAAAGCAAACGCAAAGCAATTGAAAGCCACCGGCAAAGAGTGTGAGCAAACGAAGAAGAGAGCGCTGTCCAAGCACAGCAAGCAGGTTTTACGTGTGCTCAATACAAGTTTCCACTCTCTCTCTCTCTCTCTCCCTCGCTACGTGTGTGTGGGTTCGTGCGCGCTTGTTCGGCTTGTGCCGTGCTGCACGAAGCACTTAAGTGTTAACAGTGCTCAGTTTTGTATTAACATCGCGTCTTGTTTGTTCGTGAACGCCGAAGTCGACGCACGCCTCTCGTTATTCGCGCGCTTCACACACAATTCGTAGAGCAGCAGCAGCAGCAGCAGCGAATATATTTCAGTTATATTAATAGAAATCACACACAACCACACACACACATACACATACGCGCCATATTGAAAGTGTCACACATACAGGAAAATTGATAACAAATACATGTAGATATGTTTAACTATCAATATATGCATATATATTGAAGTAGTTGAATTGCATGTTAAGTCTGTGTATTGCGTATACGCAACGTGTTGCCCAAACCTAAAAAAAATACAAGCGAATAAAGTAAAGCGAAGCAAATACAAAAACAAACGCAAAAAAGCAAACGCAATTGCTTGTTTTTGGCCTGTTTTTGTCATACGTCATGCTCGACGCTTGCCGTCTTTGTTGCACGCGCGCGGCTAAACGGGAAAATCGCGGCCTACGACAATAAACAAACAAACATCAAAAAAAAAAAAAAAACAAAAACAAAACAACCTGAAGAAGAAGAGAGAGAGAAGTTGGAGAAGCAGACAAATCCCACGTGGTTTGTGGGTAAATTTGACCACAATTTAAAATCAACAAACAACAAAAAAGCGCGCAAAAAGCATATCAAAAGAAACGACCACAAAAAGAAACACAACAAAAATATATAAAAAAGTTTAACAAAAATCAAAAATCGAGCATAGTAAAAACTTTTTTGAAATATTTTAAAGCATTTTATACAGTTATATATAAGTATATAAAAAGAGAGAGATAGAGAGCGAAATGAAATGGAAATTCTATTAAAGGAAAAATGTTGCCTTTGACTGCGGATTGCGGGCAGCCAAAAGCCAAGCGAGCAACAGCCACGTCATCATAGCTCACACACACACACACACACATAGACAGAGAGACAGACAGACATACATGGCACTATTACACTAGCACACAAATATATATACAGTTATATATACATACATATATATAAAGACAAACGGAATCAGGCCACAAAAGCGAGCAAGTCGAGCGCTTTGCTTTGCCTCGCGCTGAGACGTCCTGGCCTGGCTAAGGGACCCGAAGGACAACAGAAGCGTGGCAAGGACACACACACCCACACCACACCAGTGGGCGTAGCAGGCGTGACTATCTAGCATATATATATATATATATGTATACACACATATATATATTGCACATCAATCAAGTCGCAGAGTCCGAGGCAACTCACACGATGTCGACGCATAACTAGAGCCTTGTAAACAAACAGGCAAACGGAAGCAACATAAAGGATACACTCAGGACACTGGACACTGGACACTTGTCATACACACACACACACACATACGCACAGACAGTGGATAGACAATGGCGCGACGCAAGGGCAGCGGACGTGGCAGTAAGTACAAGCTATAATATAAATCTAATTTGATTAGATCCAATTGGAATATCTAGAGTAAAAAGTTTATAGTCTGTTGAGAAAGTATGAGTACGGTAATAATTAGATAACTGCTTATAATTTCCAATGGGAATATGCTTTATTTATAGACTACTGTAAAGCTCTATAGAATTAATAATTAATAATATAATAATATAAGTATAATCATATAAGTATAATCATATATGTATATAGGTATAATATGTAGTAGATGCAGATTCATGCAATGTATATACTGAAAATTTGAGGAATGTAATATAGAATCAAACTTGGCTCCATTCCTCTTAACCTAACCCAATAGACAAATGTATTAGTAGCTCTATATATTCGTTTATATGCATGTATATGTGCACAGCCTGTGGCATGCACATTACAACAATTGAACATTCGAGGCTCACACACACACACACACACACTCACTCACATGCACACACACACAATATCCTTTTTTTATTGCGCCTGTTGACATGCGTTAACTTCAAAACTTGATACTTGAGCTCAAGGCCATAGTTGTATAAACAGCTGCGTGTGTGTGTGTGTGTGTGTGTGAGTGTGCTGGTTAGTATGCGTGAAACTACTTGTCTGTCAAATGGCTGGCCAATAGAAGTCAATATTGACTAGCAGATGCCACGGATTAGTCAAATCTATGACGGAATCAACTTTGATCGATTGATCTGGTATATACCAATTGATGTATCTGGTATATACCACAATTTGTGTTAGCTTGAACCTCACAGATGAGAAAATCATGAGAGATCTACATAAACAAAGTTTGAGCTATAAGCGAACAACTCTCTAGCTCTGACACGCCTTTTTTACAGGGTATTCGCAAGGACAAAGGCTGAAACAAAAGTTCACCACAGGCAACAAATGTTAATAGAAATAGAAAAGCCAAGAGCGAGCTAGATGCATTGATAGAGCGCGCTAGAGGGAGAGAGAGAGAGAGAGAGAGAGAGAGAGAGAGAGAGAGAGAGAGAGAGAGAGAGAAAGCTTGCTAAACAGACATTTTCAATTACAGCTGAAAGATTACTTTTTGGCCGCGCTTTAAACTCAGTTGAACAACAACAAAAAAGATACAATATGCAAAAGTAACCGAACACGCCCACCCTTTCGCACCGCCCAACCACCCACGCCCACTTTTGCAAGCAGGCAAAAGTTCTACGACAAAGTAAAATATTTTGCAGTTTGCAAACTATAAAAAATGAAGAAGGAAAGGTTGGGAGAGAGATACAGAGGGAGGTAAGCGGTAAGAACGAGAGAGAAAGACAAGGAAAAGCAAAAGCAACTGTAAAACTGCAGGAGGTCGCGCGCGCTGCTGCTGTTGCTGCCAGTGGGCGTATGGGCAGCGATGGGGGGCGTGGCAGCTTGCAGCAATGTTTCTACTTGAAACTCAACCAAGCGCGCACTTGTTACACAGCACCACGCCCCCACACACCGCCCCAATCAAGCCCCACACAGCCCCACAAAAGTATCTATAAGATACTTTATTTGCGTTTTCTTCTTCTTCTGCTGCTGATTTTTTTTTTAATATTTTATTTTGCTGCGCACCGAGTTGAAGCTGCTAAAGGGCGGCTAGCTGGGGCTACAGCTGGTTCGTGGCGGCGGGGGCGTGGCAGCAGCACAATTCATGCATAAAACATGCAACTGACTCTGACGCAGTTCAGCGCTTCGCTTCGTTCGTTTTTAGCTGCTGCTGTTGTTGTTGTTGTTGACTGCGCTGCAAATGTTGGGGATTCCCTTACGTAATCCCCAAGCGCACACATACACACACACACACGCCTAGCTAGCGCGAGTCGTAACTGCTGCAGCTGCTGTGAGGAGAAAACGAGACAAAAACAACAAAATTATGTACATATATATACACATAAACAGTGAGAGGTGATGGAGGGAGGGAGAGGGGAGGGTTACTGAGGTGGTTGGCTCCCTTGCCTGGCACCACATGAACTTTTGGCGCTCGCACAAATACAGAGACAGAGCCAGCTATAGATACAAATACAAAGCGAGTTAACTTTTTGATGTAGATACTCAAAGCGAATGCGCAGATACTTTAACGTCACTTCACCAACAGCGACTTGTATAAGTGTGTGTGTATGTGTGTGTGTGTGTGTGTGTGGGTAGGCGGCAACTGCTGCTGAGCAGACAAGGCAGTCGAGCATTCGCAGCCGTTGCCATGTTACTTGTTACACAGACTTGTTAGAGCCGCCGTTTGAAACTTATTAACAAGAAAATTCAGATTTGCCATTATTGGGACAAGACGAAGTGGAAATACCCTATGATAAAATATTGTACTATAGAAGATACCCTACTTTTCTTAGCCTTTCTATATAGACAACTTTTAGTTAAATAAAAATATGTCTGCAGCTCAAGCTAGACCATTGTAGGGCATGCTAGCTATAGCTATAGCTGATAGGCCCTATCACTGCTTGATATATATTTCCTTTATATACCCATTCCCTATGACGTTGCGACTTCCTTTTGCTTAGTCTCCTTTACACTTATAGGGTATTTAAGTGCGTAACTGCTCCACTTGATGGGCTTGCTTATAAAACTGACATTTTCAACTCTTAAGTTCTTTTCCCCAGAAACTGGAGCCACCTGAAGAGAAAAGCCATGCTTTTAAATCAAATTTAATCATACTTTCATCATTTTTTATCCAATATCCAATGGCTTGGCATAGCTAATACACCCTTTGAGCTGTCTTAACCGTTAACGTGCAACAATTTTCTGTGTTACTTTGTTGCGGGCCCCCACAGCGTGGAGCCGGACGCACCACTGTCTGCCGCTTGTGGCATGAGGCGGCATTCTTATGCCTCGCTGCCCACGCGCCACACCAAAGTCGAAATCCAAGTCTGCGCTACACAGATACAGATGCGATTTCTTCGCTATCTACAGCCACAGCTGCTACAGATACACACACATACACACAGATACAAATACTTAGCCAAAGCAGCAGCAGGCGCAACATGTTCAAAGCGAATAGGACACTTGAGCTGCCTTTAGCACTGGCTGCGACTGTCTGCGTTGCTTGGGATGCCCTTTGACTACCCTGGACACATTTCAGCAAAGGCGAGAAAGGCAGCTTGATATGCATAGAGTGGCAGTTGATTAGACTAGAGATAAGGACGAAATTAATAGAGTATATGGCTATTATAATGACAAGAGATAAGCCTGAAGGTAATATTAAATGAAGATTTGAATGCGATAAGTTCTGTGGAAGCCCTGTATATATAATAAATATGTTATGAGATTTGCTTAAAGTATAGTACTATATACCCCAATTCGAACATATTTGTTTAAGAGATATGTATATTACTTGTTAGTTCATAAATGCATTTCTAGGCTTTTTATAAACAAACACTGGAAATTTCAGCAAAATCGCGCCATAGACAAACAAATTATTGCACAAAATCTACTTTTACAGGGTATATGCTAGTCTGGCACACTGCTAGTGCACGTTTGTTGCCATTTGTTTTGGCCAAACGTTCTGTGTCACTAACTACGTCAAAATTAAAATAGACTTTGGCCCGGGCATGCTTTTTTTTTCTTTGCTCACACACTCTGTGCTGCCCTCGCTCTGCCTCTGCTTCTGCCACTCTCTCTCCCTCTCTCTTTCCGTCTCTGTCTGCCGCACTGCTTGGCGTCGCATGCAAAGCAAAACCCACCCCCTTTGTGCTTGCGCCTTTGTTGTTGTCATTTGGCATTCCTTTGCCCTGTTGCCTGTGTCTCTGCGCTTCTTGTCTTTGCCTTTCCCGTTGCCTGTCCCGTTGCCTTTGCCATTGCCTTTGCCTTGACTGTTGCCCATTGTGCTGATAATTTATGTTTTGCTCGAGTGGAAGTGGACGAGGGAGAGCGGCTGTTAGAGCGAGAGCGACGGCTCTGCTTGCTCAAGTCGACTTGGCTCTGCTCGGGCGATTCCTTATATACAGCTCTTTGTTTTTGTTACATTTGTTGCTGTTGCCATTACCGTTGCTGTTGCTGTTGCTGTTGTTGTTACCTTTTCTATCAGATTCGCCGAGTCTTTGTTGAGCATTTCCTTTGGCAACGCATTCCGCTTTGCCAGCGGAATGGGGCTTTCAGCTATTTGTGTGTGATTCACTTTGTACATAGTTTGGGCCCTTTGCCTGATTTGGGGGTTGCTTTTCAGCCAGCTGCGAGAGTTCCTTTAAGTGTAACTGTAACTGTTAACAGGTAACTGGTTAATAGCAACTGGCTCTAGGCGTGGCGCAGCTCGACTGAGGGCTCTGCTAACGGCTGACTTTAAGGGCTGTCCCACGACTTCGGATGACCTAATAGACCCTTGGGCACTAGCCAAGGCGAAGACCCCCAAGTGCGCAGCGTGGCAAGCGCAAGACGCAAGCAAATGACAAATATTCAACAACATATTGATAGCTAATCGATGGACAGGCGAAGGGCAACAATATTATTAATTAAATGCTAGAGAACTCATTAGAATGTGTGAAAGAAAAAGCACCCAAAACTCCATAAAATATGCCATAAATTATCGATAGGCAGACTGCATAATGAACTGTTTCGAACAGATCCCCATGATTATGTAAATATTATTCGATAATTTAACGAGTATCCGCTATAAATTTGGTTCAAAATATATCATTGAACTCATTGTTATGCATCCGGTAATACAACTCACTGCTTTCCTCATTCATAGGCAATCGATAAATTATCGATAAGTGTGCATACGCCTCGCTCAAGCACGCCCTCTTCAGAGTGCGCTCATGAGCCAAATTAAAACTTAATTTTCCGCAATTCGTGCCCATTTCACCAGCCAGAGCCAGCTACAGTGAGGCCTCCCCAGTTCCTGTCTTTAAGCAACTGCCAGCAGCCACGCCCAGAACATTTGCAAGAAAAACAAAAAGCAAAAAAAGGTCAACACAGCCAAGCTGAAAGTGGCGAAAAAAAAGAAAGAAAAAACACACAAACTCACACAGAAAATCAGCTCCCGC